CCCCGGTCGTTTCAGCCTGAAAGCTGAAAAACGAGGGCCTGCAGGCCCTACTCCGTTTCAGCCTATTTCTGGGTCTTTCAGACCCAGAGTTTTTCAAGCCTGAAACGGAGGGCCATTTTCAGGCCCTCATTGTTTCAACCGCCCCTAAGACTCAGGCACGGAAACAGGGTTTCAGGAACAGGCCAGAAATAGCCTGTTCCCACGACCTTGAGCAGGAGCTGCAGCGGCAGCCCCTGCCTCCGATCGGCATTGGCAAGAGCAGCCTCCTGGGCTGCTTGCCTGCAGTCAGGAGGCACCCATGGTAGTACATAGGAGCTTCCCAGGCACTTCACGGGTAGGTAGTCAGACAGTAGTCAGGGTAGTCTTCAGGATAGCGGAGCAAGCACTCGGAGGAGCGCTGCTCCAGGCAGTTTAGCGCTAGGTAGTCTTCGGCGCTGGGCGCCATAGCTGTAGTCTACAGCGCTGGGCGCTATAGTAGTAGTAGTGATATGGGAGAGAGACACTGGCGGAGGCCAGTGGTACTTACCTGTGGCGCCATCGCTCCAGCTCCATCTTCGTGATACCAGCATCAAGGCGCCAGCTTTACAGGTTAGTACTGGACTGAGAGAGAGAGAGAGTTCTTCTTCTTCCTCTTCTAAGTCCACCATCTCTTCTTCCCCTCTCGCTGCCTACTTGTCAGTATCTATGGACTACRAGAGAGAGATACGACCTGAGACTTGACGACATTGGATACAGACTCGACATTTGGGATTCAGACATTTTGACGAGGGACTATTTGGGCCTGTGCCGAAGACTTGGCGTTGACGACATTCCCATCTTTCCCTCCTCTTCGTCTAACCCCCCTCATCTTCGTCTGTGTATGTGTGGGGCTGACGCAGTCTTCCTGTGTGAAGCGCCAGACCCCTTTCACACTCTGGGATGATGATGATGRTGTGTGTTCTGGACTGCATTGCAACATTGATTGATCGGATCATTGGTATCTAAGTCTTTCGTTTGCGCCATCTTGTACTTTGCATTGAGAGGTCGGTTCTTGTTCTGGTCTGCACGTTACAGTATGCAACACAGCGGCAGCTCCTCTCAAAATTGAATGTCTTTTTTCACCTTTCACAAGGCTATATACAGGGGACTCCTGCAAGCATAGCTATCTCACAAAGAAGGGAATGCATGTTGCCCCTGCCCTAACAGCTGTTGTCAGAGAGTAGGGTGGGGCTTGGTGTGTTTGATGATTGCTTGTTGTGGTGGTTGATGGGAATGCTTTTCGTTAGGGTAAAGCTTTGATGGCAGGAGGTCAACCCTTCCCTGTCCCTGGGAAGTAATCAATGCCTGTGCTATTTAGAGTGACATGGCAGATATGGTGGAATACGGATTTGGCTTCACACCGAACGAACACAATCACATAGTTACTGTATCGGATGCACTCAATTGACATCTCCACAAATCATTGAATAGAGATGATGTTCCCAATTTCCATCTGACACTCATCATATCATTGTATTGGGACTCTGGACCCGATTTCCAGCAGGTGCTGTTCCCCACCAATAGATGGAGCCTTCAGCGCTGGGGCCCACTTAACGAGGCTGCTCTTATCACCTCGCTATTTTCAAAAAAAAAAAGAGGGGTGGGGCCGCGAGTGGGGGTCCGGCTGACACAAGGACTGAGCGTTTTACCAGTATCTGCACCTCCCTTTTCATTGTCCTCCACCCCCCAACCAATAGCGGCAGTTTCGAAGGTGAACACTGTCAGACACCAGTGCACACAGAACCCACGCAGACTCACAGAGTCACACCCGTGTTGGCCAAAGACCCTGTTTCCACTGATCAGAGGTATCAGGCAGACTACCACATCTGGTTGGCACTACGTTCCCCGGCGCTCGTGGAGATGGAATGCACAACCCCCTGAATGCCTCTCGGAGGCAGCAACATTCATGATTTATTTGACCGTTTTCCTTTTAAAAATTTATCTTCTCTTGTGAAACATCATGTAGCAAGTTGGAGTTGGTTTGACATAGGAGCCATTAAACTCAGCAACATTTATTCTTTATGATGATGTAAGAAGGGAACCCTGGGCGTGCAACCATCTACGTACTATTAGGTGTCTTTTAGCTATGTCCATCCCATATTTCCTCGCATTGAATTGCTGTGCAAAAGATGCATTTCCTTCTCGTTTTGCTCCTCTATTTTTTTGGGGGGGGCGAAGTTATAAGACCTCTACGCAGTGATACCTTTCTATTCATTTCCCCCCAAGCGGGGCAGAAAGTACCGTAGGCCCCAAAATGACTTTTCGTGTCATTTTTGGACCCTGGCTGGGCCGGTAATGCCTCTGCGAAAAAATGGCGGGAAAGTGTTTCACAGGTGCAAAAATGATGCGGAAGCACGTTTTGCCCCGGGATCTCAGCCCACATGCACCCGTGCAGTTTACTTTTGTACTGTGTGTGGGACTGTGGGACCACGGGGGAACCGTAGATCATCTCACAAACCGACAGTGGGATTACACATCCCACCTTTTTAGGAAGGGGAGCCAGCTGGCCTGCCGTTTTGTGATGGGTTGGGGCATCATGTTGGGGTCATGTTGGGAAGGGAGGGAGAGGCATGGGCGTTGTAGTATCCTATTGAGTGAATGCACGGGGAAGGTAAGGCCTTAACGGTTTTCTTTGTCAGAGACACGTCGAGGGCCCCAAGTATCTGGTCTGTCCAATAGGAGGAATAGGACGTCGTGGTACACCCGTGAACTGTTGAAAGGAAGACCTGAGTTTGAATCCTAATGACACTAGATGAATGAAATCAAATAAGAGGATGATTCAACGTTCGTTTCCAGCCTTTTGGCGTCACACAGTTGTAGAAAACTAAACTACACAGCGCATGTGGGCCGAGACCCCGGCCAGTCAGGGTGCAAAAATGACAAAACAAAAATTGCGGGAAAAGTGGTTTTGGCGTCATATTTGCACCCTGCAAAACACTTTCCCGCCATTTTTACATAGCGGCCGTTACACAGCGGCCATTTTTACACAGGGGCCGTTACACAGCGGCCATTTTTACACAGGGGTGGTCTCTGCCCACATGCACTGTGTAGTTTAGTTTTCTACAACTGTGTGACGCCAGAAGGCGGGTAACGAACGTTCAATCATCCTCGTATTTGGTTTCATTCATTTAGTCCCGGCAGATTTCAAACTCAGGTCTGCCTTCAAACAGTTCATGGTGCACCACAGCCTATTCCTCCTATTGGACAAACCATATCCTTAGTGGCCTGGACGTGTCTGCAGTTATTCTCTGACAAAGAAAACCTGGCCTTACCGTGCCCCCTGCATTCACTGGAGACCAAAATCCCATGTTCTTTACTACCCCCAAAAAAACTTGTAGAATACTACAACGCCCGTGCCTTCCCCTCCCTTGCCAGCATGACCCCAACATGACGCCCCAACCACTCACAAAATGGTACGCTGCTGGCTCCCCTTCTAAAAGGGAGGGATGTGTAATCCACCGGTCCGTTTGTGAGATGATCTACGGTTCCCAGTGGTCCCACAGTAACACAGGTAGTAGAAAACTAAACTACACAGGTTCATGTGCGCCGAGACCCCCAGTGACGGCGGCTGTGCAAAAACGGCGGGAAAGTGTTTTGCAGGGTGCAAAAAATGACACCGAAAGTGATTTTGGGGCCTGCAGCACCTTTTTTGCCCCCGTTGGGGGGAAATGGATACAAAGGTTTCCTCGGGGGGGTGAGGTTTTATGACTTTTCCACTCCATTTTCCCCTGGATCAGGAAATGCGACTTATGTATCATCATGCTTGTTCGTGACGACTTGCGCATCTGCTCCCTTGCCTCAACCCAAGGACAACCCAAGGCAGGGTCCCACTTGCGCAAATAGGGAGATTTCGGCCGTTGATCTTTGCTATCTACGGTCAGTATCTTTTAATAATTCGTGCAAGTGGGACCTCGCCCCCGAACGAATGCGTTAGATTTCTGCCGCCCTCAACCTGGCGCGAGGGGTTCAAGCGCATCAATTTCCCGCCAAATTGAGGCAATCAAAAGCCGGGCACAGGCCTTAACCTGGCGCGAGGTTTTCAAGCGCATCAATTTCCCGCCAAATTGCGGCAATCAAAGCCAGGCATGTGCCCGTGTTTATTAAATCACCTGGCAGCCATTAGGGGCTCAGCGCACTTGTCTCCAAACGCCAACATTTTGGGTGTATTGGGACGAAGGAATGGTCAAGATACATTCAAATGTAGCTTTGCGAGTGTCGCGGCGGGCCCCTTAGATCGATCCTCCCAACCCGTGAAAGCTTCTTCTTCTACTTCTTCTACTCTCATGTCAACCAACCATCATTCAGTTTTTCTTTCCCTTTTTTTTTTGCATTTTTTCTCTCTATCCGTCAGCAGAACTCACGCGTTCGATTTTCCACATCACGCTTTTCCAGTCCACTCTCACTCTCACGCTCGCGAAGCAATCCCTTCCCATGTAAAAAAAAAAATAAAAAAAAAGCAAAGCAATCTCTTCCCAACGATACGCGATCGATACGCCCTCTACCGCCCCCCCCCCAGTACTTCCTAAAGCCGTGACCGATAACAGGCCAGGATTTTAGGAAATGTACCAACCCCTACGGGAGCGGCCAAATTCATCCGACTTGAGATGTTTCTACTCTTTTTTTTTTCCACGGCCGATAGTTGAGCCGAGTACTGCTAGTTCAAGCTACTCAATATTCCCAAAAAAAAAAAAAAAAACCTATTCAATATGCCTCATCAATCATACTAATGGGACAGCATGCAAGAAGCCCCTGAACGTCAGGCCTCCCCAAACTTTTCCATCTGATTTCATAAATGACACTCACACTGAACCAATCAGGCTGCGTGTTCATAGTGTACTATCTTTGAAACTTCCCTGACAAACTACTCAATATGCCTCAAAAAAAAAGAAAAAAAAAGAAAAAAGCTCATCAATCATAATAATGGGACAGCAAGGCCATAGGGCCCTGAACGCCGTACCTCCTCAAAGTTCTCGATCGTATCTCACTTACGACTCTCAGACGGGACCTATCAGGCAGTGTGTTCATAGTACTATCTGTGAAACATCCCTGATCTTTCCACGACTGCGTACGGACGTCGATTACCTCCTTCAACGAAGGCGACCGCTGGATATAAGGCAACGCTCGCGACTGCAAAAAATGCCAAAAAGAGGTGCCTCCGTTCTCACGTATCATGATAGATAGAACTAATTAGTGCAAACAAGACTCACCCCTCCTTGATGCAACATAAAAAAAAAGAAAAAAAATCCGAGTGAAATCCAGATGAAGCACCCTGCTTGCTGACGCTTCTGACATCCGACTCGATTCATTAAATTAAAAAAAAATAATAATAAAAATCCAGAGTGAAATCCAGATGAAGCAACCTGCTTGCTGACGCTTCTGACATCCGACTCGATTCATAAAAAAAATAATAATAATAATGATAATAATAAAAAATCCGAGTGAAATCCAGATAAAGCACCCTGCTTGCTGACGCTTCTGACATCCGACTCGACTCATAAAAAAAATTAAAACGAAAATAAAAATCCGAGTGAAATCCAGATGAAGCACCCTGCTTGCCGACGCTTCTGACATCCGACTCGATTCATAAAAAATGCTAGTAATTAAAAATAAAATAAAAAAATCCGAGTGAAATCCAGATGAAGCACCCTGCTTGCTAACGCGCTTCTGACATCCGACTCGATTCATTCGACGACAACTTGCAGTTTTGGCCTCGCCAACCACAGGGAGTTTAAACCCGCACCAGTCACCTTGCCGCAGTACTTGAGCACGAGGGTTTTTAACCCCCTGAATTTTTGCCCAATGAAACCCAAGCTTGCATCCGTGATCTCAGTTTCAACTGCCAGTGTTAAAATTTCCAAATTAGGAAGGTTGTCTCCCATCACGCTAATTACACCATCATCTATCAATGTATCCCCAAGGTGTAAAGCCGTCAGTTTGGGAAGAGAAGGAAGCAGTTTTCTTGTGAAATCGGGCGACTTGTCTTCAGGCGGAGCGAATGTCATCGTCATTATCAGCTCACGTAATCCCTGACATCCATTACCAATCGCATCAACGGCCTCGATCCATGGCCGATCAAGCCCAAATGACATTAATTCCAACTGCTGAAGGAGGGGGCAGTTCCTCCCTATGAGGTCCAGAATATCTGGATCGCAGTCCCACGTGGCCAGGCGGATCAGTTGCCCCTGGGATCGCATTACAGCAGCCGTAGCAGCTCTCTTAGTGGAGTCCGACCGCCAGAAACTCGGGACAAAGGCGTCCGCTTCCTTCCAGCAGCACGGATCAAGTGACGCTCGATGCCAGCTCTTGCAGACTGCGCCTACATGAATCTTCTGCTGAACAAAGCTAAGAAAGCTGAAGATGTGCACTAGAGCATCGTGTTCAAGCTCTCTCCAATCATGCCCAACTGCCACGTCATCAGCACGTTTGTCCTCAAGATTACACTCTTGATGACGTGTGTGAGGTGGATGCTGATGATGATCGGTGCAAGGTCTGGGAGAAGCATCACCTCTGTGTGGTGGAGGCGTCTCCGTGTCACGCTCTGACAAGTCGAGATCTCTCAAATCATGCCCAACTCCCACTTCATTGGCATGCTTGTCCTCCACGTGCCACTGATGATGCTGATGATGATCGGTGCAAGGTCTATGAGTGGAATCATCTCTGTGCTGTGGAGGTGTCTCCGTGTCACTCTGTAATAAGCAGAGATCTCTCGAATCATGCCCAACTCCCACGTCATCAGCACGTTTGTCCTTAAGATCACACTGATCATGACATGTGTAAGGTGGATGGTGATCATGAGAGGTGCTAGGTCTATGAGAGGAATCATCACTGTGCTGTGGGGATGTCTCCGTGTCACTCCTCTCTGACAAGAAGGCACCCCCTTTTTCCTCTGCGTTTGCCACGTCTCTCTCCGCATCACTCTCTAAGAAGACGCCCTCTGTTTCTCTCTCGACGCCTGCACTCTCACTCTTGGCCGCATCATTCTTGAAGAACATCTCTCCTCTCTCTGGCGGCAACGCCGGCAAGTAATCAGGCCTTTGATCCGTCTGCTGATCACGTGTCGGATCTCCCTCACGCCTTAGGGAAACATCCTCTGTGTTTCTCTCCTTTTCGATACCGATGGTACTTTCCATCGTCTCCGCCACTCTTCGAAAGAGACTGCCGCTCTTTCTTCGTCTTTCCCTACTTTCTCTCTCTCTCTCTCTCTCCAACTCTCCCTCCACCCTCCCTCCCTCTGTTTCTCTCTTTCCTCGTCCCCCCCCCCCTTCCCCTCCCCCTCCCCCTCCCCCTCCTCCCCTGCAGTCCTGCTTATTGCTTGCCCTCTGCCTCACTGAGCAACACAATCTCATCAAAAGAGTGATAAGCGGACGATGCGTCCTCTCTCTCTCTCTCTCTCTCTCTCTCTCTCTCTCTCTCTCTCTCTCTCTCTCTCCAGCTCTGCCTTTTCGGAGGTTGCGTCCCTTCTGCAGCCCCAGGCTCGGACCCTACCTAGTTTCTGCAGTCGCCCACCGTTTTACATGGGAACTGCTCGAGCACCGTCGCTGCAGAACGAGCACCTACGGAAGGCGTTCTGCTACTTTTCTTTTTCTTCTTGAGGCTATGGTATGCCTGCTACGGTGGGACGACAACTACGAGGGAGGAAAATGGACAAGCCTGGTTCTGGTGTCTATGAATGGCGATGTCATAGTCGCTTGCGGGATGACAAGAACCCTGCTGCCTTCTCCCCCCGGGCTAGGTCCCACTTGCATGAATTAAGAGATACTGACCGTAGATAGCAAAGATCAACGGCCGAAATCTCCTATTTTGCGCAAGTGGGACCTTGCCCCCGAATACAAGGCACCTTCACCATGAGCACTGCATCTATGTGCTCGAGTTCTCTCCCCCGAATCCATAGCATATATTCGCTCATCACAGTGTGTTGTGGTTGGGGATAGACTCTAGACCTGGGGTCTCGCTCCACTACTCATCGCATGCACATAAGACAAATTATGGCGGTTTTTTTTTTTTTTTTTTTTTTTTTTTTTTTTTCTTTCTTTGCGGTGTATCTCTCGATGTTGTAGCGAGAGCTTCATCACTCTCTCGATGTCGTTAAAATTGGAACGACACAGATAAATGTTTTTTGTTTTTTGGGTAGACGGTGCTGTACCTTCCTCGGCAAGCTTGGCCCCCGCCACCTAGAGATATGCCGTTGGACCCCCGAGTGGCATTGAGCAGAGACTGCTGATGTTCATAGGGGTTCCCCCGAGTGGCATTGAGCAGATACTGCTGATGTTCATAGGGGGAGAGGACCGGAGGGGAGGCACAGTGACTGGCCCATCAAAGAAGCTCGGTCCTGATGCTACCGGCCTGTATCGCCCACCTGCTGTAGCAGATATCGCACCTACTGGTGGGTGCAGCTCCCGCATGCTCCCTCGTTGGAGGTTTGAGCACGGATGTGGCTACTACGGGTTTCCCCGTAATACTATAATGACAATTAAAAAAGCCTGAAAAAAAAAAAGGAAAAGAAGATTTTATTCTTTTTTTCTGGGAATTTTTTCGAAATGCCCCTGAAGTTTGCGTTTATTTGCAGCGTGCCCCTGTGAAGGCCGACTTACCCTGTTATGCCCCTCCGGCCTCTGAAATTTTCTGCAGGCCCCTGTCAGCATGGGGCATAACTTTCCAATATGCCCTTACTGGACAGCTGGTGGCATTTCGTCTGTCCGTCCTTGAAATGCCCTCACGAGAGGCACACATCTTTCTGTGATGCCCTTGCAGCAGTGGCGGCAGGAATTCGAACTCGAAAACGGTAGGTATTTCAGGAGCCGCCACGGAAAAATGGTGCAGCAGTCAGTCTTCAAGCTCGCCGGTCCATGGATCGCTGCTCCTTCCTCCTCCACCCATGCTCATTGCCCTCCTCCCTCCTCCTCCATCCATGCTCGTCCCTCTCCTCTCTTCTCCTCCAGCCTCCATCCTCTATCCTCGTCCATCGTCGTAGTCCTTGTCCTCCCTACTCCTCTTCCCTCCTCTTCCCTCGTTCTCCCTCCTCCATCTTTCTCCTCGTCACCCCTCCCTCTCCTCCTCCTTGATTGTCGACTCCTAACCATCACCATGGCCGTCTTCTTGTCGTCATCTCCCCTCGTTCTCCCTCCACCAACTTTCTCCTCGTCACCCTTCCCTCTCCTCCTCCTCCTCGATTGTAGACTCCTAACCATCACCATGGCCATCTTCTTGTCGTCATCTCCTATGCACGCGCGCGCGCGCGCCCGCGCGCGCGTGTGTGTGTGTGTGTGTGTGTGTGTGTGTGTGTGCGCGCGCGTGTGTGTGTGTTTTGAAAGGCAATGGTGATGAACATTACTAAAAGCCGCAACTAACATCCACACAAGGATGAACTCAACATCTTCCTGCAAAAGTCCGAGGCAAAACGTCATTCTGAAGCCTTCTCTCCCCAAAAATGGTCATCTGCTAAACATGAAATGATGACAATGCATGTATGTATAGACAACGGTTTGCTCCCCCACTCGCAATCAGCTCCTTTCCACACCAGTCGACGCAAAGAACCTTGTCATTGTGATCGGTTACTGTGTGCAACGGTATCTTGCTGCGCCTGTCCCAGATCTTGACAGTGTTGTCATGCGATGCTGACAAGAGGAGGTTCTCTGACTTTGTCGACCATTTTACAACTGTTATCCAATTCTTGTGTGATGACAATTGCATCACAGGAGCAGCAGTATCGGAGGCGCGAGGATCCCAAATTCTCAACACATTGTCCAAACCACCGGTCACAATGAGAGAAGATGCATCATCATCTTGAACGCTTAAGAAGTGAATGTCTTTGCTACCTGTCATACCTGTCAAAATTCGTGTGGTTGTGTGCATCTCTACATCCCACGACCAGATGGAATGGTCCCAGGAACCTGAGTAGATTGTCTGTGGATCAGACCAAGCAACGACGGTGACACACTGCGTATGACCCCCGAGGGTGGCAATTGCAGATACCTGTTTTAACTGCCCATCTGCGGAGACTTTCGTTTACTTGTTTGTTGGATAGGTGGTATATGATGACGAATCAAATGTCCCCCCTACTCCTCTTCCCTCCTCTTCCCTCCTCTTCCCTCGTTCCTCCCCCGTCCGTCATTGTCATAGTCCTTGTCCTCCCTACTCCCCATGTAGAGTAGAGTCCAGTCGAGTTGAGTTGACTCAGTTGAGTAAACTACAATGATTAGATTCGAGTATCGTAGCATAGAGTATAGTAAAGTACAAAAGAGTAGAGTAGAGTACAAATGAGTACAAATAAGTAGAGCAGAGTAGAATACAGTATAACGAAGTACAAAATAGTGTACAATAGCGTAGCATACAGTGAAGTGGAGTGGAGTGAAGTACAATAGAGTGGAGTGAAGTGCGTTGAGTGAAGATGAAGGGGAGCAGAGAGGAGCCAAGAGAAGTGGAGGAGGGAGGAGAGGAGTGGAGTGGAGAGGAGTTGAGCCGAGTGGAGTGAAGCGGAGAAGAGTTGAGTCTAGTGGAGTAGAGTGGAGTGGAGTGCGGTGGAGTGGAACAGAGCGGAGTGAAGCAGAGTGCAATGAAGCAAAGTGCGGTGGAGCAGAGTGCGGTGGAGTGGAGTTGAGTGGAGGTGGGTGGAGCGGACGAGAGTGGAGTAAAGGCGAGTGGAGTGGAGTGAAGTGAAGAAGAGTGGAGTGGAGTAGAGTGGAGTGGTTTGGAGTGGGGTGGAGTGCACTTGAGTGGACTGAAGTAGATTGAATAGGAGGAGAGTGGAGAGGAGGAGAGTTGAGAGGATCAAGGTGGAGTAGAGTAGAGCAAAGAGGAGTAGAGAAGAGAAGAGTAAAGCACAGTAGAGTATACTTCATTTAAAATAAAGTAAAACAAACTTGAGTATAGCAAAGTAGAGTAGCGAAGAGTAGAATAGTGTAGCATAGAGTAGAGTAGAGTAGAGCCCAGATTAGTCGAGTGGAGTAGAGTAGAGTAGAGTAGAGTAAAGTAGAGTGGAGTGAAGTGGAGTGGACTTGACTGGAGTGGAGTGGAGACGAGTGAAGTGGAGTGGAGTAGAGTTTAGTGGAGTGTAGTGGAGAGGAATGGAGTGGAGTAAAGGAGAATGGAGGAGCAGAGTGGAATGGAGTGGAGTAAAGGAGAATGGAGGAGCAGAGTGGATTGGAGTAGAATAGAGTAGAGTCGAGTAAAGTGGAGTGAAGTGGAGTGGAGAAGAGTGAAATGGAGTGGAGTGCAGTAGAGTGGAGTAGAGTGTAGTGAAGTAGAGGGGAGAGGAGTAACGTGGATAAGAGTGGAGTAGAGTGGAGTAGAGTGAAGTAAAGTGGAGTTGAGTGAAGTAGAGTGGAGTAGAGTGGAGTGGAGTGGAGTAGAGTGGAGTAGAGTAGAGTGGAGTAAAGTGGAGTGGAGTGGAGTTGACTGGAGTCGAGTGCAATCGAGGGGAGTAAAGTAGAGTAGAGTAGAGTGGAGTAGAGTGGAGTAGAGTGGAGTG